TTTCTAATCCCAATCAGCATGTGCTACCCAATTTAGCGGATCTTCATGACAAATGATTGTTTCCCTAATCCTCCCCCGTTTAAAACCAGAGTTTTCTTTCCTATTACTTGTGCAAATGCATTTCATTTGCTTGCTTGAAAGTTAATTTTCTTACTTCTGTAAGCCTCTTTGTTTTTTTTGTTTGTGTGTGTGTCTGTTACGTTCTTGTCATCTTTATTGTCCGTGAAAATACTGACGCATTCCTTTCTAATAGAGCTATTGCCGAGAAATGAGCTACGCATGAATTGACGGGAATTGGGTTTTGATTGTTGAGTTAACAAAAGGAAAGGTGTAAATATGACAGCCCCTTTGGGGGTATAGATCCTCCTGTTCGTTCTTAAACTGGAAATTGTGTAATGTAAAGATGCCAGTTTCTGCTGTTGTATGCACACAGTGGAAGGCAGTTTTAGCTGTTGTTTCTGCTCGGTTTCTTGTTTCTAGCTCTGTTGCTTCTGGTCTGTTCTTGAGCGTCGGGGAAAGTGATATTTTTAGTGGGCTGGGAGTGCGATGTGGGTTGAATGTGCGTTAGGTGGTTTGTGGTTGTCTTGAGCTAACCGTGCAGGTCATGAGGTTCGCCGAGGTTTAAGTGACATAAGCGTGGCTGGGTCAGTTCCACAATCATTTCCCCAAACAAACTAGGTCACGTTCCATTCATACATTTTTTAGACTGGTCTGCTGAGAAATAATGTCTGAGATATAGTTTGCAGCACTCTCTAGGGGATTGTGTGTTATACCTAGTTTCTAAATGTTTTTATAGTGTTAAAAGCGCTGGCGTGCTTAAATAGACAACACGCCGTATCAACCACATTGCCGAACACCCCGTAGCAGTGGGCGAAGGTCGGGTGACTAAAGGTGGACCAATCAGAAGTGGTCCGTGGGGAGATTATCGTAGAACTGACCGGTGGCTGGCTTAGAGTTAAGTCTTGTTCAAAGCAGTAGTCTCGGGGGGGGGGGGGGGGGGGGGTAAGCAGTTTTGAAATTAAATGTGTGTAATAATTTAGATTTTCACCTTTAACAGTTAGAATTTTTTCTGTATTTCAATATCAACGTTCTGCGCTTTTATCTAGGGTTCAGTATGAATTGTTCATCACTTTTTGTGGGGGGTTCAGTTCGAATTGTTCATCACTTTTTATAGGGGTTCAGTATGAATTGTTCACTTTTTATAGGGGTTCAGTATAAATTGTTCACTTTTTATAGGGGTTCAGTATAAATTGTTCATCACTTTTTGTAGAGGTCCAGTATGAATTGTTCATCACTTTTTGTGGGGGTTCAGTATGAATTGTTCATCATTTTTTATAGGGGTTCAGTGTGAATTGTTCATCACTTTTTATAGGGGTTCAGTGTGAATTGTTCATCACTTTTTGTAGGGGTTCAGTATGAATTGTTCATCACTTTTTATAGGGTTTCAGTATAAATTGTTCACTTTTTATAGGGGTTCAGTATAAATTGTTCATCAGTTTTTGTAGGGGTTCAGTACGAATTGTTCATCACTTTTTGTGGTGGGTTCAGTAAGAATTGTTTTTCACTTTTTGTGGGGTTTAGTATGAATTGATCAGAAGTTTTTGTGGGGGTTTATTGTGAATCATTCAGCACTTTTTGTAGGGAAAAAAAGTGGTTTATAAAAACACAACCGATTTGAGTTTATTAACTAACAGATTTGTGTGCCGGGGGCTGTCTGTGCTAGCAACAATTATTGGTTGGAATTGATCAGTTCTGTCCTTGCCATTTGCGTGTGGGTGCCTCTGTCATATTGACGTCTTGACTATAATTGTGTCCGAGAGAGGCAGTTTTGCTAGATATGTTGGAGCATCTGATAAGAGGCAATTTTCCTAGATATATAAGAGAGGGAGGGGGAGAGAAGTAACGAGAAAAATACATACAAAGGAGGAAGTTTTCCTAGATATGAGAGAGAGAGAGAGAGAGAGAGAGAGAGAGGAGAGAGAGAGAGAGAGAGAGAGAGGGAGGAGAAATAACGAAAATGTGACAAAGGCGACAGTAAGAAGAGAGGAGAAATAAAGAAAAAGAGTCACACAAAGGATGCAGTTTTCCTAGATGTTTGAGAGAGCGCGCGGAAAGGAGAAATAAACGGAAAGGAGAAATAAAATGTCATATAAAAGACGCAGTTTTTCTATAGTGAGTTACCATGGGACTATTGTCCATGGCGTTTATGTGTGTGTGTGTGTGTGTATCACGTTGAACTCCTGGCTAATTGTGCCTAATGAGATAAGTAGTTTTGTAGATCCTTTAGAACAAAGGAAACAGGGAGTGAGCAAGAGTTGAAGCAGTTTTCCATCATATATGTGTTGTCTAACCGTGAGACCGGTTTCTGCAGTCTGTGTGGAAGAGACAGATAGACAGACAGACAGAGAGCAGTGTGTGTATGTTACTATAAAAGGCGAATTTTTGCTGTCTCTGTGAGTGTGTGTGTGTGTTTGTTTGTTTATGTTTTATATGTTACTTTGTGAGATGACTTTTTACGGTCTGTATGTGTGTGTTTTTTAAATGTGTTATATGTTAATTTTGTGAGATGACTTTTTTTGCGGTCTGTATGTGTGTTTAAAAAAATGTGACTTTTTTATGTGACTTTTTTGTGGTCTGAGAGAGAGAGAGAGAGAGAGAGAGAGAGAGAGAGAGAGAGAGAGAGAGAGAGAGAGAGAGAGAGAGAGAGATTGTATGTTGCTAGGAGAGATAATTGCCCTTGATCTGTATGTGATCTTACTATTAGAGAATATTTGACACACTGTATCAGATCTTGTCTGCAATAGCGTCGCTTAAAAAAAATCCATCAAACTAAACACGAGGTGCATCGGTGCATGAGCCAGACACATAACAATGTATAAATAATTTTATTACAGATAAATCACCGACTGGCAGCGATGATTGCTCAACCTAGCCCAGTGATCATGCAAAGTAAACTGTCAGGCATAATTGACTACAATATTACAAAGCTATAACAGAAACCAAAAAAATGACAAACTTGTGGAAGCTTAATAACACCAATTATACTCTCGCCTTGTCATGATCACTGCAAACGATGACGCCAGCAGAATTGAACGATCAATGCCAACTGTACTCTTTGCTAGTTCTGTTCCTTTCTTAGGAACTGCTGAGATCGTTCTTTGTATAACATTCTCAGACTTATTCCTTGGGGACAAGATCTGGTGTAGTGTAATTGATCCTTTCCACTTTACACGCCCTCTCTTTTGATCTGTATGCTGTTGGTTATATATTCTTCTTCTTCTTTGCGTTTACCAGCTGTAAACTCTGGTTGAAAGTTTTGGTTGTTCGTCCACTTCTGGACTGCAGTCCTGTTCCAGAACCTGAGTGTTGCGGTTGGTTACATATTGTTTTGTTTTCTCTTTCTGTGTGTATGTTTAAATTTGTATTGGGGTCTTCTAACAATTGCCCTTCACATGTACATTTATACTGATTGTTGATACTTAGTCGATTATTAACTACCGACTGGTATTCAATTTCAGAAGCACGTAAACACCAAAATGACACTATCGTTAATTTATGTTACCTAAAGTACTCAGCTCTACCAGACATTTTGTGCCCAGTACCGGGACCTTCCTTGAGTCATCTTTTTCTTTAGCGCTCCTGTAAGGAATACTCTGTTGTTATTTGTTATAGACCTTTATGTGATGGACCTTTTTTAAGAGGAGAAAAACCGCCGTTTGGTGTACATTGTTTTACCGTAGAATACCCAAGTCTCACTACACGCATGTTGTTACATTCCCTTCCTCGTGGTCTTTTCTTCAAAGACAATTCCCAGAGTGCTCTGGAAGTTCCTAGGTAATTTGGATCGCCTATACACAGACAAGCACACTGACTATTATAAAGGAGATGGGAGACGCTGTAGCCAACTTCCCATGAAACAATCAATAGTTACTATGGGTGTGGCTTTTGCGTTGCGAGACTGAGGACGCCCTGTGTGCAGCCATGTCGACTGTGATAACATAACATAATGTAACATGACCGCCACCGCTCCTTTACTGAACAATACAAAGTGGGAAATCACAAAACATTAGGAGTTAATATTTTTGTATTATATCCAGTTACACCGCGGAAACATCTTTATATAATTGTTTGTAGCTCGCTGTATGTATATCCAGGCGCACACAGTGATACATTCAACACCCTTGTGTGTATCGTGTTCCACAAGTTTGTGATATCCTTTCTTACTCCAGGAAAATAATACTATATGAATATGTTGCCATCATGATAAATACATGATAAATATCATACTGCCAATGCTAACACCGCAGAAAAACCTCCAGTTGCAATGAGTTGATGGTACTTAACACAGAATACACAGCCTGCATATACTTTCACGTGTTGATACTATTGTAAATTGATAGTTAGTGCTAGTTTCTATACAAAATGAGTCGTTATACAACAGAAAACCCAAACATTTCCATGTGTTGTTCATGATTGTTCTGAAGAATTTGCCCCGGTCGGATTCCTTGGTGGCAGGGTTGAACCATCATGCTCCCGTTGGCGCCTGGGTTGTAGGTGGTATTGCTTGAGGTGAGATCCTGGAGGTATTTCCAACTGAGGTGCGTACTAATTTCACTGAGATCGATGTTCTGGTTGACTCTTGGTCTCCTCGTCGTTGGTGGATTGAGGCGGCCAGTTGTCTCGTGGAAAACAGTGCTGAGAACGATTAGGGGAAGTGTCGTGGAAAGTAGAAGACACTGCGCTTGAAGAGGTGGTAGATTGAAACATAGCGACTCTGTCATTAGATATGTTGTTGGCGATGCTTTGTTGGGGGATTCTAGATTGTCTGTGAACTAGATCTAGCTCCATTAGGGACGTGTTTTGTATCACATTAGAATTGTCCATGTTCATTTGGAGATTGTGCGGGTTGAGTGTGATGAGGGGTGTGGCACTGCCAGTTTCTAGAAGCTTCTGCGTTGGGTGACCCTGTCTTTTGAGGTTTATTTTTGGGTTTGTTGGCTTTAGTTCTTCGGAGTGGCTTTAGCAAGGGGTTGCCTTGCTTGTGTTAATGCTGCACTGGGATGAACGGCACAGTGAGAGCTGCGGAAACCAGAGTCCTCAGAGTCGGTTGTAGACGAGTGAGATGCTTGGGACTCTGGTCTATCTGCACTGGTGATTGTGGGTTGGATGTTGTTCACACCGTTGCTGTCTCTGCAGGAATGTCTGAAAGGCTTAGGGGGTGAGGATGTAGAGGAAGGGTATTGCTGACCGGGATTGTCAGATTCGAGATCATATTGAAGATGGAAGTTACCTGAACACGGTATCGTTCTGTTGGGTACATGCGCATCCCCACTTGGAATAACAGAAGGGTCTAGCCCTTGACGACTAGGTGGAGTGTGGATTTGTATATTTTGTGTACGCTCTGCTATGTCCCCAGCATTGCGGTCAGTTTGGCTTTGAAGATGGTAGCCGGGACTGTCCGGACAGAAATGGGCCCGTGGTTGCCTGTTGGCTAGCACATGTTGTGCTGGAGGTTTATGTACATGGGCAACGATGCCGATCTGCTGCCTTTCATTGTAATGGGCAAGGCTGAGACTAGCAGGGTGGACGGCGGGAGGGTTGTAATGCTGCGGGCTTTGGGAGTGGTTCATGTCATCCCCGTAGCACACCCCGTGGGTCGGATGGACGGATGCTTGCATTAGGTTGTGATGCAGAGCAGCTTGTGGTGGTTGATGTAGCTGATGCACGTGGATTTGGTCACAGAAGACCTGTTGCTGTTGTCGTTGAAGGGCTTCTTGGGCCTGGCAGAACCCGCCTGTCACGTGATAGCTGCAGTGAACGGGCTGCTGACCGAATATTGATATCCCAGAGTCTGGGCAAGTTCTGTAAGCGAGACCAGGACGAGGTTCACTTTCCTGGCTGGGAGATAACCCCGCAGAGATACCGCTGTCGTGGTATGTATGGTACATAGGTCTTCCGTGACCGTCCTGCTCTGTGGAAGGACTCCTGCTGACATCGTATGCAACGTTATCCTCTCCGTTGCCTGGCAGGAGTGCATCTTCCAAGCGACAGAAGTCAGGCGGAGGTGGAGGGTCCAGCGACATTCCTAAACGCCTCATTTTGCCATGAGGGTCATATTTCTTGGTTAATACCTCTTTGCGCGCCCTCTGTAGAAACCTGTAGAAAAATTGTGTGAAAACAATTATTTATTTAGTGTATCATACACAATGAATATTATATGCAAATAAGCATGTAATGTCTCAAAGTTAGCCTCTGTGTATTAGGCGTCGCAAACAACTTAACTCCTAAGGTGCCAGGTTCGATTCTCAGATGTTGGCGATTTAGCAGCAGACCGTATTGTGTTGGTTTTAACATTGGTATCGAGATCAGAAAGCAATGGCAAACTACTAAACATGAAATCTCTGTCATTTTCTTCTTCTTCAAATGGAGATGGGCCAGGCGACACATGGTTAGGTGGGTGAATGGAAGGCGGTTAATGATGATGATAATAGCATAGTATTATTTATAAAGTCATTTGCCTTACGTTAGCTGTTGCATTTCACCGCAAAAGGTGAAACCATGGAACACGTGGAAGCTGATAGATGGGATGAGGCTGACTAATAATAATTATGTATGATTTATAAGAAGAAAAAAAAAGGGAGGGGGAAGAGTGAGGTCTCAAGTTACTAGCTACATTTACCAACAATAGATGAAGTCAAGGGGCAGACCGGTGAATGGATGGAATGATGTATAAAAATTTTAATAAATAATAATAATAACAACAAACAGGTATGATTTCCGAAAAAAATTGCCTTAAGTTAGCTGTCGCATTTGTTATCAATAGATGAACGGCACGAACGGATTGATAGATGAATTAGTTCAGTTTGTAACTAATTATAATAATGACGAGGATGATAATTAATATTAATATAAATAATACTAATTATAATGGCTGTGTACTTACCAGCAATAGATGAATACGAGGAACAGGGCGATGGTGATAAGTGTGGGAACAATGATCCCTACGTAGAATAAGAAGTTCATATTGCTGTTGTCATTATCAAACATAACCGTCTGAAGAAATCATTCTTAGTGCTGTCCAGATGCTAACCTCGTACGTAGCCTTGATGTATGTATAGTTCACCGCTGTTCGTCTACATCCCATAATTTAAGTTGTGGGAACATCATGGTAACCTGGACGAAAACAAAAATGCATAAAATAACGCTGGCGCTGGGGAAATGTAAACACTAAGAACTATCGCAGCGAAAATTTACAGAACATGTAACCCAATAGTTAACATTAAATAACAACATAATCTATGCCCTCACTGCGAGCTATACACATTCTTCTGCTTGTTTACCTTCAATGGAGCATAGGCCCCTGCCGTTCTGTCCTTCACTATCGCATGCAGCTCTCCCAACAACTTTACTCTCTGGCTTTCTTCTCCGCGTGTTTTTTTTGTTTGTTTTGGGTCTATCTTTATTACTGTGGGTTCCAGTGCAAAGACATTTTATTTATATTGTTCTTAGGTTTTCTCAACGTGTCCTTTCCAACGCCAGCGTCTTTTCTTCACCTCTTGGTCCACTGGAACTATACATCAATAACTTCATTTGAAAAAAATATGTGTGATTTCCACACTGAAGGTTCGCTAGTGTTTAACTGTTGTCTTTGGGAATGTATCACATTGTGAGGCCCCAACTCTTTTCGCGACTCTCATTCTCCATTGCCAAACCATAATTTAAGCTGCGGGAAAAACTTAATAAACACGAATCAAGGAACACCGACAGAACACGTAATATAATAGTTAACACCAACTATCAGTATAATCCATCTGCTCACTGGGAACTTAACATTAAAACATCCATTACCGATGTTCAGGATTTGAAATAGAAAACAGAAATCTGACGTTGTCTAACGGTTATCTTCCAGATTTTTCTTGGCACTTTCTTCAAAAACAGGTTTCTACACGCCGAATTGTTTCCTGCACATCCTTGTACATGATTCAACGATGCCAAACAGTTTTTACGCTCATAAAAATTTCAGCTTTGTTCTGTTCTTTCGGGGGAGTCTTGCCAGTTGTCAGGCTGTATCAACAGCATAAACCTGTCGGCAAACGTCGTTACACAGATGGCATTTCTGTAAGTGCCCGGCCCGTCGGCTGGGAGGCAGGCACGCAGTTCATGCTTCTAACCAGCCGGAAAATCGTTTCGGGAATTTCATTTCCGCACTAGCCATTAAACCTCGCCAAAGAGAAAGGAAGGACGTGTTTGCCTCTCACTTTCCGCGGGGGAAAAAAGGAGGGGGGGGGGGTTGTTGGGGGAAAGCTACCGGCTAATTTGTGGTTCCGGGTGGTTGAAAATCTGGACACTTCACTTACTGCTGGACTTGTCTGGAATGGGGGGTAGGTCTGGTGGGGGAGGTTCGCGCGATGAGTGGCAGTTAGGGTGGGAGGTAGTTAGCAGGTTTTATGAGTAGTGTGAACGTTTGCCATTGGTCAGTGCTGGCGACGAGTAGGTCATTCATCAGTGGAGCAGATAAACAAACATGACCAGCAGGTAACTACATCACACGTGAGGTAATGAGTGCGTTAATAAATAGCTTGAATGTCAAAGGCCAGTTTCCTCACGCATAATATGCCCCCCCCCCCTTTTCCGCCTTTTCCATTTTAAAGGCGTCTGCACACTTATCATGGTCTGTGTGTGTGTGCTCTGGTCTATTGAGCACACACACACACATATATATATGTGTGTTGTGTGTGTGTGCGTGTAAATATGAATCAGAATTGACGCCACCGCACTGGACATTCCCACACGTGCTCCATCAGCAGGTAACAATAGGTCCCTGTGCTGATAGCTGCAGTCCAACTGAACCTGTTTTTAAGGACCCCCCCCCCCCCCCCATCCTTTTTTTTTCTCCTTGTGAGCTTGGTTGAACGCAGCATAATCCCCCACCCCACCAATATATATATATATATAAATTAAGAGTTTATGATTCTTGATAATAAGCCTGTAACATTTTGGGGCACGAGAGAGAGAGAGAGAGAGAGAGAGAGAGAGAGAGAGAGAGAGAGAGAGATCTAGTATATACACGTCACAATCATGTACCGGAAGCGTAGACGGCTATGGTTCTCCTTTCCACACTGTCACGAGAATCTGTATATGAGTGCTTATTAGTTTTATTTATTTTTTTCCCCCTTTGTTTTCATACTATCTTGGTTTATTCACATGAACTGTACACCACGCAACAAATGTTTACAAATAATGGAGATGTAAACATGAAGCTAAAACAAATTTCCATTACTTTTTTACATGAATGAATGCGAGGAACAAATCTGAGACAGAAAAACATTTGCTAACAGAGAAACATAATACAGGCACCCGTACACTCAACAAGAAAACAGTATTAGTAACCACATGTGTCAATTGAGGTTTTTCACCGCAAACGGTCACTAACATCGAAGCCACAGAGTCGCACACTTTATTCCTAATAGTCGGCGATACCAGCAAGAGACTACAGCAAACTTACCTGTGCAACTTAACACAAAGACAAGAAAGCGAAGACAAGATTCAGTGAAATGTGTGATAGTCCTTCCGTAATGAAATCTGGTCGTTCTCGTTTCTCACATAAATCCATCAGTTGGTATCAGACAGCGTCCAGTTAATGCTAGGGAAATAATTTTGTAATCCACGGAGCGCAGTGAAGACGGCGGGTAGTCTGCCTGTGTAGGCGTTGGATTTGCGTTGTGTGGCCTATGCAGTGCGAAGTTTCACCGTTTGACTGTGAGGAGGACTGCGGAGTGAAATCGTTGGAGTTTCACTGTTTACACTGCGGAGAGATGTTGGAGTTTCACTGTTTGACTGCGAAGAGAAGTCCTTGTATATTCTACGGGCTGCTATTGTGTAGAAAACTCCGGTCAGAAAGTGAATGTGAAAACTGGGATACGTTGAGGTCTTAAATGGCGGGAACTCACAGACGCTTCGTGTGTGTGTTTGTGTGGTTTTGGTTGTGGTGAAGTTGGGTACGGGTTTTTCATTGATTGGATATTTTTTCCCCCCATAAACTGTCTAAACCCCCCCCCCCCCCCCCAGCTGAGATAACTTCTTGTCATGAGCAAAGCAAAATGTTATTGTTTACATTTTCTCGGAGAGAGAGAGAGAGAGAATGTGTGTTTTTAAATGTTCTCAGAGAGTGTTTACAGAGAGAGCAGATAAATGTTACGTAGGGGGAAAAACATGTTATGTTCTTTTTGCGTACACATAATATCTAGAGATTTTAAGACACTGGGAATCTTTACAGAAATATATATACATACTCTCAGATACTGTCTACTGCCATGTCTCACATATCCGGTGTCTCCCACTCTTTTACAGTCACGCTTCTTTGGCTGCTTTTTATAAGGTCTCTCTTTCGCTATTTATGCTTTTTTTTTTATAAACGCTCATTTCTTTTGTTATTTACCGTTTAACTTACTCTCTCAGCAAAACACTCTGGCTCTTTCATATACACTATATCCCAGCACTTTCACACATTGTTCTTTTACTGGGAAGTATTGGAACAACAGCCTCACCCTGTCTCCCTCCCTAGCTCCCGTCTTGTCGGACGTTATTTGTGGTTGGGTGGCCTTGAGGACATCTTAACATCTCACGCCCCCAACCTTCTCCTTTCTCATGTTGGGAACTGGAAACCTAGCAATTGATTGCCCGCCCCCAGAGCAACACCAAATAGAATACAAAAACGGCTCTTTATTTTATTTTCGCTTTAAACTAGTAAATTGAAATGTGTCCGCTGCACGCCTCTTCTTCCCTCTTCTCTGCGGCTTGTTGTAGGAGGAAAGGGGAGGGGGGGGGGGGCTGATATATAAAAATGCATGAATGAATTAAGAATTGGCATCATTATACTCGTGCCACTCTAGTACGTGCTCTGTATTTTCGTTTAATAGTCAACGAGCAGTTTCCACGCTAGAAATTCCAGTTGCAACTTTTTTTTTTTTTTTTTGAATATTTACAAAATGTACATTGCAGGACCAACCGCAGTTTTGTTGTTGTTTGTGATTTCATTTGACAGTTTTACAGATAGTAGTTTGCCATTAGTTTACTGAATGGAACTATGGGCTCTCGACATCACTATCAAAACCAAGCCAACGCGGTCAGTAGCCCGTATTCTCCTTGTCCCCTGTAGTTAAGTTAACCCTATAGTATTGTTTCTTAAGCCCTATAGTATTGTTTCTTAAGCCCTATAGTACTGTTTCTTAAGCCCTAAATTATTGTTTCTTAAGCCCTTTAGTTTTGTTTCTTTAGATGTTATTACATGTCGGTACCATTGCATGTTCGTTCTTTTCACTGTAGTTGCTAGTGTCCTGAATCCGATTCCAGTAACATATTTTTTTGTATCCCCCTCTAAAATGTCTTTATCCACGAATCGTTCTAATCGTTTCTTCACTTCAGCCGTGAAGTTTCTACATCGCAACTGCTTGTTTCCCAAAAAAAATTGATCACCGAACTCTGCATCTCATTGGAACATACTCCCATAGCTGCTCATTTCTGCTGTACCTAGTGAAGAAGAAAAAAAATTTAACACAGCAGAAATGCCAGACTTTCCTTTCGTTCAGATCTACAGTTGGATGTACAGACTTTATCCTCGGGCTGACTGCCATTAAGAATGCATTAAGTTTCTTGTTATAATATTACCCCGAGGATAAACGAGTTTACCGCACATTTCTCGGAATATTTTTTTTTTTTTTTTTTGACAAACCTTTTAGGAACGTGAGTATTTGAGCTCTCGTGTTTCCCCCAGTGGTTTCTAGTGAGGTAAATAGGGAGGAACCGACGAGGGTGGGGGGAGGGGGGAGACGGATTTTGTAAATAACGCCTGGAGTCTGGGTAACTTGACAAAAAGTGTGAAATGTTACACTGGGTGACCCGCCAGGGGGGTTAATGTGAAGAGTCAGCGAAACATGCAGCGGCAAATCTCGTAACTGATTCGGTAATGAGAGAGAAATAGCGGTGTTTTGACGTGACTAGGCGCTGGAATTGGATGACATCATTATCCAAATGGAAGCGCCCGGTTC